CAGTTAACCTTTTTTTTTATTTGGAGAAAACGTATAAAAAATAGAGATATTATTTATGGACTCTCCAAAAAAAAGGTTTTTATGGTATTACATAGCACGGTATGATTTTGAATGACTGACCCTAAAGAGAGTAGAATTTAAGATCTTAGAGCATGTTTTGGTATGGTAGAATTAAATAAAATGAAAATAATGTAATAGTGAGAATGGAATACATGGTAGAGTGGGATGGAATGTTCATTCTCATTTTACTATTTGATTGACATAATAAAATAATGTAGAAATGGAATGATCATTCCCAATTCCAGCTTGATTTGTTAAGTAAATTGAATAGAATAACCATTCATTAGTTTCTTATATAGAATAAATATTTTCATAGAATAATTTATTTCTACTTAAATAAAATATTCCAAATGAGAGAAAAAAATAGAAAGCTAGCATAAACATTCCATTTCAATCTATTTTATCCTACAAACATACTCTCATGTTTAGTTGAGGGGATTGAGTAGGGATTTGGAAAGGAAAATGAAAAAGGTAAGTAAAATGTGAAAAAATATACCTACATTTCACATAGTTTCACACATCTTTACCTTTTTCCTTTCTAAATCCCTCCCAAATCTTCTAACCAAACACAACATCAATGTTTATACATCAAGATTTTACCAAGTTACAACACCCCCCTTCGATATGATTTCACACCAAAAAAATAAAAATAAAATAGATCCCACTAATTAACTTCAATTAAGAAATGATTTGTGATGATCTAAATAAATATATTTTTTGATTTTTTATGAAATATAGATTGTGTATGTATAAATTAAGTTTGAAGTGATGTAATAGAGAAGTAATGTGACCAAGGTTCTGAAAAGCGGTTGCGATCACCGTAACGGTGGCGGTGACGCAGTTGCGGTTGCGGGGGTGTAAAGGCCGTAGTGTAACGGTGGCGGTAACCGGAACCATGAATTTTTTTATTTTTCGCACAATTTGAAAAAAATTTACCGATACGCATATTTTTTTCCATGATCATATTTATTGGATTAAAAATAAATATTGATCAATTTTTGTAAACTTTTAAGTATGATCCAATATATTTCATATATTTAAATCACTATAAACTGAGTTTTTTATATTTTATTTTAATAATTAATGACTTTATATTATAAAAAAAATCAATTACTAACTATTATATATAAGATAAACAATGACAAAATTAAGAGAATAAATAAGAACCTAAATATATATATATTACATATTTTAATCAAGCCAAATAGATAATTACCACACTTATTATTATTATTATTTTCAAACAATATACAGATAGACACACACAAACAAAATGGTTTAGTAATAGCATCTGAATAGAATAGCATAGGTCTTACAGTTTCAACAAATCAATAACATGTTCTTCATCTTCCCTCTTCTCTCTCTATATCTGTTGCTCCTCCATTTTCTCTTTTTATCTTCTCTCTTCTCTCTCTATCTGTTGCTCCTTCATTTTCTCTCTTTATCTTCCCTCTTCTCTCTATCTCTCTTCCTTTATTTTCAGCTTTTTTTTTGTTTGTTTTTTTCGAAAGAAACAGTTTAGAACCGTTACGTAATGGTGCGTAACAGGCCGTTACGGTATCGTTACGACCGTTACGGCAGCCACTTTGCCGACACACCTGTGAATCTCAATCACACTGCAAAAACGACCGTAACGAATGGCGGTAACCGTCAAAATCGTTACGTAACAGCGTTACGTAACAATTGCAGCCGTTTTTTAAAATCTTGAATGTGACTTAAATAATTTTAAAAAAATAGTTAAAAACTGTTTTTTAGCTTTTTTTTTTAAATTTTTTTGTGAGAAAGAAAAATAAATTAAAAATTAAGAAGTGACTTAATCCACTTTTTGAAATAACTCTTAAATAAAATAATGATTTTTTAATTTTTTTAAATTAGAATAAATGAGGCCTAAAAAGCGTGCGAAAAAAAATAGAACACGGCGCGTGGGGGTCAATAGTTTTCAACTCTTTTTGCGTCTGCCGACGTCATCATCTATGTAAGTGAACCCTCGGTTTGGACAGAGTGCGGTCCAAAACCCAACAGATATTCTTTCATGTTAACTCTCTCTCCTCTCCCCCCCCTCTCTCTCTCTCTCTCTCTCTTCATCAATGCCACATCACTATCATCCATCCATCACGTGACCTACTTTTTTCCACTCTACAGAGAAACCTAACCATAGCGGCTCCCAAACCAAACCCTCCAAAACCAAAATTCCCTCTCTGTTCCAAAAAAAAAATAAATTATTAGTTGGTCTAAAGTATATATGGAGTGTTTTAAAAAGGTTTTTAAAAATTAAATTTTTATTATTTTTATAAAATATGTTAAAAATATGAAAAGTCACGTGATTAATCCACTTTTTTAGAAGAGATCATATATTCTTAACCAATCACATATTTTTATATTTGCTTATATTTTATAATTGTTTAATATAAAATGGTAAATTTCAGTTTTTCACTAATCAAAACACACCTACATTTCATTTGGAATATATATTTGGGATAAAATAGTCATATCGGATAAAATAGATTATTTTAGCTAAATAAAATAAAATATCACATTTAATTTATAATCATTTTATTTTTTTTCCTACAAAAATTAAAAAAACCAATAAGTCTATCCCAAATGATATCTTCTAAAAAATAATTAAAAAATCAAAAAGCCAACTCACATCCCAAACAAGCTTCTAAAATATTGTGGCCTTGTTTGATTTGTTTCTTAGAAACAAATTTTGAAGAAAATTTTCTAAGATTTTGTTTGGATTAGTGATTTTACAAAACAAATTTTCCAAAATTACTTCGGGTATGTTTGGTTTGAATTTGTAGAGTGAGTTTGGAAAATTTTTTCTAAAAAACTTGTTTGGTTGATAATTTTTCCAAAATAATTTTCAAAATCACTTTCTCTTTCTTCAAATAATCATTTTTTCTCTCTCCTCTCTCATTCTCAATCACTTTTTTTCTCACACACATCTATTCAATTACAACAAAATATCAAATCATTCTAAACTCCCAAACTCCAAAACTACTTTCAAAATACACAACCAAACAAACCAAAAAAATTTCTAAACTCTCTTCCCAAAATAACTTTTAAAAACTACTCTCTCAAAACCAAACCAAACATACCCTTCTACATATCAATCAATCATTTTTCTCTTTCCTCTCTCATGCTTAATTAATTTTTCTCTCACACACATTTACTCAACTACAACAAAAGATCAAATCATCTCAAACTCCGATACTCCAAAACTATTCCAAAATATACAACCGAACAAATTAAAAAAATTTCTACTAGTGTGTTTGATTTGTGTTTTGAGATAAATTAAAAAAAAAAATTTGGATAGAGAGTTTAGATATTGTTTTAGTGTGTTTGGTTATGGAGTGTTTTGGAAAGTTGGTAAAAAATTAATTTTTTAATTTTTTTGGTCTATTTTATATTTTTGTGAATAAAAAATGTGAGAGGTGATGTGACTCAAAATGGGTAAAAAATTAAAAGTTGCCTTTTTATTTTCTTCCCAAAAGAGTATATTGAGGCAAAGTTTGGCATGATTGAAAAAAGATAAAAAGTCAAAAAGTCACTATCCTATTTAAGTCACATCATCTTATTTAAGTCACATCACCTCTCTAACATATCACTTCAAACCCAACCCAAATCCAACCCATATTTCATAAAAAGTCAAAAAGTGCACTTATTTAGTCTTCCCAAACTAGGCCTGAATTTGGGATGATTTAGGCCTTGTTTGATTTACTTTTGAGAGAGTAATTTTTGAGAATTTTTTTTAAAATTTTGTTTGGTTTAAAGATTTTGAAATTTTTTTTTATCTAAAATAACTTTCTATTTCCTACATATCAATCAATCACTTTTTCTCTCTCTTCTCTCATTCTTAATCACTTTTTTTTCTCACACACATTTACTCAACTACAATAAAATATCAAATTATTTTAAACTCTCATACTCCACAACTATTTCCAAAATATACAATCAAACAAACTAAAAAAAAATTCTAAACTCTTTTCCTAATTTTTTTTTTTGAAAATTTATCTTTTAAAACCAAACCAAATACACCCTTAATATTTTGTTATAATTGAATAGATGTATGTGAGAGAAAAAATAATTAAAAATTATAAAAAAGAGAGAAAAATTAATTAATTAATGTATAATAGAAAGAAAAATAATTGTAAATTAAAAAAAAAAATTATAACCAAATATATTTTTGAAATTTTTTTTTTCAAAAATATATTTCGAAACACAAACGAAATAAACTCTACGTACTGTGCCTCGTGATGAACGAATAACTTCTCCCCTGTTTGAGATTCTTTTTTTCTCTCTCACACACACATGGTGAGTGTGTACTCTTGGGTCTGCGACTAATACGTACTGTCTTTAACGCGCGCTCTCTCTCTCTCTCTCTCTCTCTGTCTCTGTATTTGAAGTGTCATCGCCTAACTTGAGACACTCAGAGAGAGAAGCAAAAAGTAAGTTGGGCAGCTCTTTGCACTTGCAGTGCTCTGTTTTTAAGAGTGAGAAAGAAAATAAAAAGGGTACACGGAGAGAGAAAAGAGAAAAGAGAAGAGAGTGATTTATAAAGAAAGGAATGCAGCAGCACCTGATGCAGATGCAGCCCATGATGGCAGCCTACTATCCAAACAACGTGACTACTGATCACATTCAACAGGTCTTCTTCTCTCTCTCTCTCTCTCTCTATTTCTTTCTGTCCCTATTCTTTTCATTTCTATTTTCTCTGTTTTCTTTGCCTTGTTCCCCTTTTCTTGATGTCTTTGCTGTTTGTTACATACTAATTAGTTTTTATTAAAACTATTTATTAATGGGTATTTTGTTGTTTTGATACCTACTTTTAGTTGATTTGTCTTCAAAAAAAAAAAAAAAAAAAAAAACCGGTGGTTTTGTGGGGTGTTGGTTAATTGGTATTTGTTGATCATTCTCATATGGTCTTTTTATTGATTTGTTAAAGTTGTTCTGTGGGTAACCTGGTGCTGGCCTTTGTGGGTTTGTGTGTGTGTGTGTGTGTGTGTTTTTCCAAATAATTATTATTGATTTGTGAATATTGTTTCTGGAGGAAAAGTTTGGTACTGTCCTTTTTGGGTCTGGTCTTTCTAGTTCTGTTTCTTTTTCTTCTGATCTTTATTATGGGTATATGGTGCTTTAATGCTTCCTCCTCATCCTCCTATGGTCTCCATCTACAATGATGAAAATTTTTACCTTAAGCAAAACACTTATTTGATATTTTAGATCTTTTTTTTAAAAAAAAAGTAATTTCATCTATTCCCAAGATCATCTTGGAGTGGCAGAAGGGTAAATAAATGAAGTTGCCATCCACCAAATACTGCTGTTATTTGCAAGAGTGTTTTTTTCCACCCTGGTAAAACTCAATTTGGTATTGATTGAGTCAAAAAGTAAGGAGTTGTGATTTATTTTTTAAAATATAAATTAAATCCGAATCAAGATTTGAGCAAGGACTGGAGATGCCCTAGCCTAGGTATAACTTTATATCTTATATATGTTTATTGTGTTTGCCTTTTGGATGCTTTTTGTTAGTTTATTATCATTATTATTATTATTGCTTGTTACATCTAACTCCTTTCAGATCCTGTAGAAACAGGAGCCTCGTACACTAGGATTGTGTTTTATTTATATATGCAACTTGGTATGGTAGATGAGCATCACTTTTGCTTTAATGTCTTTCCTCCTTTTTTCATTTTCTTATTTAGTAAATTGTTCATTAGAGTAATTTGTTGTGCGTTTGAGCTTTCATCTTAGAAAGTGGCGTAATTTACCCCCCCCCCCCCACCCCCCCGCCCCCCCCCCCCCCCTCCCCCCCCCCCCCCCCCCCCCTTCCCCCCTTTCCTTTTATCCTTTTTTTCTCCCAAAATATTAAATGATAAGTGGATGTTGTGGAAGTGCGTTGTCTTTTGCTATTTTAGGTTTGGGTTAAAAAGTCTCGTTTGAATATGCTTTTAGTTTTTTTTTTTTTTTGGTTATTTTTATAAGAAAAAAATAAAATTATTATGAGTTGGGTGTGATATTTTATTTTATTAAAAAAAAATAAAATGCTTATTTTGTCATTTTGTGGCTAAAATAGTTCCAGATCCAACCCTTAGCATCCGTTTGGAAAGTGGGTTTGTTTTTTAATTTTTTAGCCTTTTTTTTTTTTTGTGTGGCTATTTTAGCCTGGGTTAACAAATTTGGTTTGGGAAAGATATTTTTGACATTTTTTTTGTGAGAGAAGAGTTTAATGATTATGAGTTGGATGTGATATTTTGGGTTGGTTTGGGATGTCCTAAAAAAGTGCACTTTTTGACTTATTGGTGAGTTTGGATTGGGTTTGATGTGATGTGTTAGAGAGGTGATGTGATTTAAATAAGATGATGTGATTTAAATAAAATAGTGACTTTTTGACTTTTTGGCTTATTTAGTATATGCCAAACTAGCCCTTTGTTTGTTTGGGCTAAAATAACCAATTTTGTTTTTTTGTGACTATTTTAACTCCAAAACCGCTTGACAACCCTTATGTTTTTTTGACAATTTGCAAGTGGTGGGAGCCATGGATGCTCAAAAAGGATTTAGTTTAATGCCCATATTCATTTAATAGATTCGTTTATTTTTATGTGTGCATTATCCGGCTCTTCGGGTTATTACCCCTGACTTAACTTGATCCACCACTCTTTGCCTGTCCGAACTCCATGACTGGCTGGACATTTGACCGGAAGGTTGACTTGACACCTAACTATTTCCTACTTGGGGGGCAGCGGAGTTAGTTGTGCAAAATTACCTCACAAATTTGCTGATTAGAGTCCTTCTGGTTAATAATCAACAAAAGTCTGACATAACATAACCTCCTTGTATTGAAATGGCTCAAAATAATCACTAAAAGTGAACTATTAAATGTGTAGAGCTTTTGAGCTACACTGATAATGTTGCGAAATTGTTTATTTTTAGTAGAGCCTACAACTTTTGGCCCAACTAAGATTCAAATTAGGTTAGATAATTTGGATCTTTTGGTTCAACTATATTCCTTTTGGGATATTAGTTTGGTATTGTTTTGACACATGCTTTCCCTAATTTAAAAAATGACTGACACGGAAAACTTGTTTAGTAAACTATTTCTGAAAATTGCTTTCCGGGATTTTTTTTTTTTATGAAGACTCTTCCTTTTTCATGCAACACTTTTATGTTAGCTAAATTTTCAAAAACTGTTTTTGCATAAAATGAATAACAATGTGAGAAGTGTAGTTAATAGTTGTAAATAAATTTTGTTTACATGATCCACTTTGAGAATAATACTTCCTTTACAGTGTATTGATTATGTAGCATGTTCAATATTGGTGGTTCATTCATTCAGTTTTTAATTTGTTGGAGACTTATGGGTCAACATTCTGTCTTCTGCTATATTGGTTTGAGGTTGTCAAATTGAATTTCTATTGCACATTGTTTGGGTGATTGCCATGAAATAGGAAAAAGGAAACTCTCAAATCTCTATTATTTTTAAACAATTGACATACTATCTCTGCCATCATTTATCACTTCGCTCCTCTCTTCGTGCAGTATTTGGATGAGAACAAATCGTTGATTCTTAAGATTGTCGAGAGCCAGAATTCAGGGAAACTAAGCGAGTGTGCAGAGTATGAGTGATCTGTTCCCTCTCTCTTTCTCCCTCTCTCTCCACCTTGGATTCTAATCTTTTGCAATTTAATATACAATAACTTTGCATTCTTAAGCAGTCTTGTTCTTATAATTTCTCTGCAATTCAATTTAAGTTAATGTTCTGCTAACCATGGGTGTTAGATTACTGCTTCTTTTACATGTCTAACGATGTTTTGACTTTGTCAGTAATTGGGTGAGAGGCATGACCATTGCTAGTCAAGTATTTTAGATATAGCTATTTCATTTTGATGAAAGTGCACAAGAATGGGTAGATTTTTCATTTTTTCTGAAGATTTAGAAGGAAAAAAAAGGGGGCAGGAAGTGGTGTGCTAGTTAGCAATGCAAAAGTCAAGAAGAATTTGATTTTCAAAATTCCTATGGATTTTTTTGTGGATAGAGAACAAAGTCCATCAATTTTCAGTTAAAAGAATCTCCTCTGTTTGCTAGGGTTTATTTCAGTGTGCTTAACCCTTTCCTAAAGTGACCTGGTCCCTGCGTACTCTATCTTCATTTCTCATGTTCAGGTAAATTTGGTCCATTTGATGCTCATCTAGTAAATTATTAAAAACCCAATCTTGTTCAGTTGGCATGATTTTTAATTTTTTTAATATTAATTTTATTTGTTTTTTCTTATAATAGAGTTAACTGTTAAGTTTTCCTTGGTATATCCCCAGCTGCACAGCTACAGATAATCCTAGACGTGGTCCTTCCTAGATTCAAAATAACAAGTGGGGAGTATAGCATTCACTTAGGCTCGTGGACGTGAACTTAGTATATTGGGCTATGGAAGCTTAGGGTCAAGGGTAAAAGTATGTGTTGGACTGTGTTGGAATTTCAATGATGTGTATAACAGAAATAATGCTAGGGATCATGAAAAATATATCATAAAATTCATCATGAAGATTTTTCATCCCTTGATTAATGTGTGATTAGTGTGTGGTGTTTTATTGTATGGCTAATCTAAAAGTGAAGAATCTTTTATGATCATCTTCATGATATTTTTTTCATGATTCCTAACATTACTCGTATAATAGTAGTAAGAATTGAGAATTGAATAATAATTTATAATTTATAATTCATTATGAGATGGCTGTGGTCCAGTCAGAATAATTTCTTGGGTTGAATGTTCCCTCAATAATCTTGATGTGCTAATCATGTCATGTATGTTATACTCATTCATGCTACTCTCAAGTGCCTGAATGGAGAAGAATCAAATAGGTCGTGGACTAAATGCCTTTCCCCTATTATGATGATATAAACTGCTTCCTTTTAAAGAGATGTTCACTAATATAGGTCTCATTAGTCTCATTATAGACCTCTAACTTTCTAGGCATTGGTCTCTCCAGTGTTCTTTCTGATGGAAAGGGGTTGAGGAAGGGGTACAAAAACGAAAGCCTTGTCTTCCTTGCATGTGTTGAAAACCTATAGTATTTTAGTTTTTGCAGAAGTTGTGGTAGAAATGCATTATCCATTTCATTTTCCCATGTCCATCTCTTGAAAGTTTATAGAGTGCCAACCCGAGCACATGGTATCGTGCATGGAGAGTGGTGACATTGCAGAAAGTGCTAGTATCAAAAGATTTAGAAATTTTATTAGAATTATTTGAAGTTCCCATTGGTAAACTTACAAGTCTTGTATGTCATATGCTTGGCAGTGAAAACAGGTCGTCCGTCCAATTTCATTTTTTTCTTATTGAAATCCTTCCATGCAGGTTTACTTTAGTTATGTGGCTGGGAGCTAAAATTCTAAAATTTGAGAGGCCGCTGAATGAAAAATTTAATATTTTGTGGGACCTCAAAAAAATTTTGGGGGACTATGGTCCCTATTGCGAACCCCTTCCTCTACCCCTGTTTAGTTTCATTTTTCGCCATAGAGAGCTGTAGATTTAGAGGACATTCTAATTTTCTAGAATGTTCCAGAGAACTGTCATTATTCAAAGCCAGGTTAAAAGAAAAGCTGGACTCTCTTAGACTTGTAAATTTATGATTTATCAAATATTTAATATTCTAAAACATTATGAAACTGACCTTGAAATATATGAGCATATATCTTTACTAATGGTGCTATTTGGTGTAGCTGTTAATACAGATTATAGATTATAACTTAATAGATTATAGATTATGACTTTAATGAGCTGTGAAGTAGCTTTTTCAATAAATTTTTATTTTTTATTATTCACTATTTGTCTACATTTCTCATAAAAAATAATAATAATATTCTATAGTCCATTTAAGTCTCTTTCTATTTTTAAAAAAATAAAAAATAAAAAAATTTAGGAGTATAATCGTGAATTAATATGTTCACAGCAGAAGCTGATAATCAGAAGTAAGGGGTGAATCAGTTTTTTTGGCTTAAAATAAGTTGTTAGAATCAGAAACTGTTTGAAATAAGTTTAACCAAACAGTTCAAAATAATTTTTTAAAAGCGAAAGCCATAAGTTGGCTCAAAAAAGTCCCCACCAAACACCCCCAATATATGCTCTGCTTGTTGCCCATCCTCCCTGGTTTGAAATTTTCATTGTGGAATTTGTATATTCACTAGTAATCCTTTTTGTGTTATGGCAGGAACCAAGCGAGGCTTCAGCGAAACCTTATGTACCTAGCTGCGATTGCTGATTCTCAGCCTCAACCACCAACTATGCATTCTCAGGTGAAGACTTGTAGGAATGTTAAACTTTTATATGTATTGCTGGCTGTTTGCTACATTTGGATGTGAAGCCAAAGGGATATCTTATCAAGTAGTAGATAGATCGAACCCACCTTGATGCTTCTCACAGTTCATAATCTGAAATCTTATTGAATTACTTCCCCTTATTTGTCTTACATGCAAGTCTTCAATCCACTACTTATATTGCATTCTTGGATTTTATCTCGTAGTTATTACCCTTACTTTAGGAGTCATTTGGAAAGGAATGAAAACTTGTTTTAAAAACGGGTGAAGACACCTTTTTGTTTCAAATTTTGGAAAACTTTCAGATTGTTCCCCCTCGTTTTTTTTTTGAAACGAAAACAGCTGCAAACATGTCTTTCTTTGTAGTTTTCAAAATTTTGAAAACAAAAATGTTACAAAACTGGCATTTTCCTTTTGTTTCTACTGATTCACAATGTCCTAAATCTGACTGGTTCTGAAGTAGGCTAGTTACGGAAATTCATACAGCTGTTTGAAACTTAATGAAAATTCCTGATGCGTGTTTTGTTGAATGTCGGACAGTTCCCTCCCAGTGGCATTATGCAGCCAGGAGGTCACTACTTGCAGCAACACCAACAAGCTCAGCAGATGACTCCCCAATCGCTCATGGCTGCACGTTCTTCTATGCTCTACAGCCAACAACAGTTCTCGGCACTGCAACAACAGCAAGCCTTGCACAGCCAGCTTGGCATGAGTTCTGGTGGAAGCAGTGGACTTCACATGCTTCAAAGCGAGGCTAATAGTTCTGGAACCACCGGTGGGGCACTCGGAGCTGGAGGGTTTCCTGATTTCGGGCGTGGCTCCACTGGGGAAGGCTTGCAGGCTTCTGGAAGGGGAAAGCAAGAGATCGGATCTTCTGAAGGGCGAGGTGGCGGGAGCTCAGGAGGAAATGGTGGTGAGGGGGGCGAGTCTCTTTATTTGAAGGCCGGTGAAGATGGTAATTGAGAGGTAAGACGTTCTTGGCTTAGTGACCTATTTTAACTTCTGAACTTGTAGGTAAGTTTAGGCAGGATGATTAAGTATTTTGAAAGAACGGAGGATTAGCTGCGTAGACTACTTCTAGTTATGTGATACAAACTGTCAGGATTGCTTTCCAAGCTCAGGTTTTGTGCCTGAAGTTTTAAGATGATGTGTGTTATATGATAGTGTATTATGTAAATCATGTAGGTTATATGATGGTGTGCTTTGAGCTTTGTTAACTGTGTTTGTTTCTGCTTTCTTGATTTTCTTGAATTGGGTCAATCATCACCTTCACATCTGCCTTTTTTGTTTTGGGCGTGGCTTTACTGTTACTTTCATGACTTGGGTTTGACATAAAAAATTTGCATTTAGAACTTCAATTTGGTCCCAAACCTGATTATCTAGTGAATTTCCCTGTTTTTTAGTATTTGGTGAGCAATTGTAAATCATTTTCCCAAATTTCTCAGCTTTTTGCCAACATTTCGTTGATTTCTGTTTTTTGAATTAAAATATATGAAGCATATTATAGCTACCGTGGACATTACTATCGTATCAGATTTTCAGTATCAATGGGAGCAATAATTGTGGCCTGTGTTGTGATCTTTTGTTTAAGCAGAATGCTTCATGTTGGAGTATTTACCGAAATAAACAAATAAAGTGTCACCATGAAAAATATCAGATTTACGTAATTCAGCAAATTAGCTTACGATCATGACGGATGTCCAATGTATGAGGGCATGTTTGGCATAATTTTAAAAAGTCAATTATTATTTTATTTAAGTCACATCATTTTATTTAAGTCACGTTATCTCTCTGTCATATCATTTTAAATTCAATTCATTCTCACTTCATATTTTATAAAAAGTCAGATTATTTTAAATCACCTTTAAATATATGAATATACAATAAATTAAATTGTGAAGCGGTAATCTTGTTCTTTTTATTGAGATTCAAGTCTTCGATTAGTAAAATTATCATTTCTTGATGCAACAGAATATCATGTATATCATGTTGTATTAGCATGTCTCGTTAAGGATACAACAATTTGATTTTTAGTTGTGTTGACTTAATCAAACTTGCAAAAGTGAGTCCAAAACTCTTTATAAAAATGTTGGATAATTTTTATTGTATTAAGAATAAATAATATTTGTGTATTTAACAACAATAAGAGGAAATACAGTAAAGAGACTGTTTAATTACAAAAATTAAATTAGTAAAGAAAATAAAATAAAAAGGATTTTTATTTTGTTATAAAAATAAAATTAAAATTTAATAAAAATAAATAAATAAAACAGAAAGTAAATGAATTACTAACCTTATGTATCTATTGAATAAAATTATGATCAAATTCAGTGTTTAAAATTATGTCTTTAAGACAGATTCGTCTTTTTTCACAGTATTTTCAGATTGTGGACGTCTATCTCTCAGGATAAAATGGTTAATAATAAACAGTAACAACACTACAAATTATTTGTCCAACGAACACACTTTGTGTTCATATAATTTCTCACAGAAAAATTAATGCAACAAAATGCAGAGATTGAAGCAGCAAAGAAGAACAGAATTTCTGAATAACAAAAATCAATAGAGGGTCTGTCTATCAAGAGAAAATGTGGCTGTTCAGATTTGAATTGAATAGGTATAGAACCTGTTCGGTCTTGTTTGAACAAATACAATCTATTTGGTTTGTATTTTGCACAGATAATTGAATATGTTCGGAGAGATATGGGACTGTACAGGAAGGTTCTGTTTGGGTTTGAACTTTAAGTAGGAAATTTAAATTCAAACGGTTAGAATTTATTTTCTAAAAATAAAATATAAAAATAAATTCAAATATTTTTGGTTCAAAAAGATAAGTATTTTTGGTCGAAACCCAAACCCAACCCAGTCCGCCTAACCACCGGCGGCAGCGTGCGTGTTTATTTTGGGTCCAATTGGTCTAGCCCACTTTGCCTATAACCTCTCTCCCTTCTACAAACTTGGGGTCCCCGGGCTCTCTCCAAGTTGCAAACTCAAGATTTATAAATTCATAAAAGTTTTCCCACCAAACCAATGTGAGATAAGCATTTAATTCAAACCTTAAGGAATTTTCACCAAAAACTCCATTTCTATGGAGCTCGCTTTCGACTTCAATTTCTCATTCACCCGATAATGGTTTTGAGTAACCAAATATACTACGTAAATCACAACGCGGCATAGAATACGTTACCACTTAGACCCCCCCAACTTTGGCGCATTGGTCCTACCTAAAAAATAAACCAAAGTTGCGGAAAAAATTGTTTTTCCAAAATTATTTCTAACAATCTTCCACATGAATGAAATTTGATGACAACGGAAATGTAACAATATCCAGAATTTGTCGAAAGTGTATAAATCGAAAAAATATTGCATTAGGATAGGTAGCTTTCAGCCTTGAACCTTCCCTAGTGATAACCTATCGGACTTACTAGCTAACTAATGGACCCGATGACTTGAATTGTTCAGCTATTTGTGTAAGCCAAGACAATAGATTTCATACAAAATATCTTCTAACACATCGTGATTTTAATAGTTGTATTCATTTTTACCTTGAGAGCTCCTGGTTATTCATGAGTGCTTTCTAGAGAATTTAGCCTTTTCATTCTCATAGAACCGGCCCCAATTTGACACTCATATAGGTAATTCTTATTGTGAGTATCTCTTATGCCCGTCTTGGTTTTTACGCTTAAATCAAGATATAAGTAATCATTAAAAACAAAATTTATCCTTAAACCCCTGCATACAACACATGTTGCAGATATCACTCTCACCATAGGAATGGGTAGGGAATTTTAATCCCCTGGTGATTTTTGATGAGCCACACTTAACTTAGTTGTCTCTTTGAACTTAGTTCTTGATATCTCCAGTCATTTAAGTAAGGTTACCATTATGATGACTCTTATGTAATAGGCTTTAATCCTATCATTTTGATAAACTATATACTTGCTCTTTAGTCAAACCTTTTGTTAACGGATCCGTAATATTCTCTTTAGATTTTATGTAATCTATTGAGATTATTCCATTTGAGAGTAATTACGATATTATGTCGACGACGAATATGTTGTGACTTACCATTATACATATGACTCTGTACCCTGCCTATTACAGATTAACTATCACGATGAATGTAAATAGCTGGTACAAGTTTTGGCTACATTGGAATGTCTTCTAAAAGTGGCATAGTCATTCTGCTTCTTCTCCTTCTTTGTTTAGAGCAATGAACTCAGATTCCATTGTGGATCGTGAGATGCATGTTTGTTTCGTGAATTTTTAAGAAATAGTAGCGCCTCCCGGAGTAAAGACATATCCATTAGTAGATTTTGAATATTTAGTATTCGATATCCAATTGGCATCACAATAACTTTTTAATACTGCAGGATATCGAGTAAAGTTCAAACCATGATCACGGGTAAATCTTAGATATTTAAGAACTCGAATGATCGATTTCCAATGATTTTCTCTGGAATTACTAGTGTGCCTACTCAATTTATTGACAGCATAAGCTATATTAGGAAGAGTATAATTCATTAGGTACATTAGGCTTTCAATGATTTGGGAGCATTTTATTTGAGACACCGTATCACCTTTATTTTTTGATAAATAAAGACTGATGTCTACAGGTATTCTTGCTATATTCATATCATCCTTGATATATTTACCAAGAATTTTCTCAATATAATGTGGTTGACATAATGCATATCCATCAGATGTTTTAGTAATTTTTATTCCTAATATTACATCTGCGACCCCTATATTTTTCATATCAAATATTTTGTTCAGCATTTGCTTAGTTGATTTTATCATGTTTTGACTGCTTCCAATGATAAGCATGTCATCCACATAAAGACAAACGATGACATAACCTTTGTCAGTATTTTTAACATAGACACACTTGTCACATTTATTTATCTTAAACCCATTAGTAAATGGAAAATGATTGGTGACCCTAAAAAAGTTGCCCCTAATATCCCTAATTTCCAATTTTGGAAACTGTTTTCTTTTTTTCTTTCTTTTTTCCTTTTTTTTTTTTTTTTCATTTTTGTTCTTTTTCTTCTCTTTGCTCTAACTTTTGCCTGGGTCGCCCTTCTGGGTTTTTAGCCCAACGAGCCTCTAAAGAATAGAAAAGTTTAACTTGTCCATGTTGAATGGTCGTAGGATCTCTAGCCATTTGAATCCATGAGAATGGTTGTTGTTGCTGACTAAATAGTCTTGATGATGTAAGAGCTCATCCAATTGGGGTCTAAATTTGAGCACATCTAACATTTTTGCCCCTAGTTCAAGGGTTACTTCTGATCTAACATTGCAAGTTTCCTTTCATGACATCGAACCTTCTTGATTTGACCTTCTTGCCCCTAGTTCAAGGGTTGCTTCCAATCCGGCCATACAAGCCTTATATTATGATTGATCATTTGAACATTCTGAGTCAAGGTTTAATGTTCGAAAGCAAAGGGGTCGAGTCTTGAGGCTGAGAGTAATCCTATGCTGCACAATCTCAAGATCAATTCCATGCATGTCTTCGCAGGACCACACAAAACATTTTTTTAAAATCTTTTAATAAAGCGACTAGTTGCTAAGGCTCCTCTGAAGACAATGCAGAACCAATCTGGATCAAGCCAGGATCCTTCTCAGTACTCACATTAACAAACATGATCTCATTCATAAAGGGCTTAGCATGCCTCTCTTCCTCTCAGTTGATCAAATTTTTACAAATCCCGAGAAATTCCTTCCTCTTTGTTTTCATCATAGTGTTAGAAAAGTTTTGAAAAACTTAGGTCAATTTGTGTATTGTTTGAATTTTGAACATCACTCTAGTCTGACTATGATTTGGACCCTAGCCAATGGGGGTTATTTATTGGCACAGAAACTAGTTTCTTTTGGGGCTTTACCACCGGCCTATGTGTGGTTCTGGGCCTTGTCACGGGCTATGTGACCGTAGTCAATAAGACTTGGGTTTTGTGAATCAAATCATTGAACCATCTGAATATCGAACCATCGATTTGAACAATGAATTACTTTGAATTATCTTGTTGGCTTTTCATTTAAAATGTATTGTACATTGTTTATTTTTAGTTATGAAACCATCTTACAAAATAATTGTTCATTTATTGAACTGTAGAAAAATTTATATTTATTGATTATCGATTTATTTATTTATTTTTTTATATTTGATCCAGCTGGCAGTGATGGTTGGTTATTTACTAGGTTGTCTAGCTTACCCTTATTTTATTTTTTTCAGATTCTGA